GCAGTTCTTGGGAGTGGGTTCTTAGACGGGTTAGGATAAATTTTTCTACCACTTTGCTCATAGCCGGGAGCAGGCTAATGGGCCGGTAGTTGGATGGGATGGTGTGATCTTTGTTGGGTTTTGGGATAAGGATTATGTTTGACGTTTTCCAGCGGGTAGGGAAGTGTCTTAGTCTGAGTGTCGCGTTTGTTTTGTTTAGTAGGGCCAAAACCGTGGGTTATGACTAGTGATGGGAGAATTCGAATGCAAGAATCGATATCCATTCGATTCTTAAAAGTTCTCGCTCTTCTCGAGAACTTTTATGCCGGTATTCGAATACTTGAGAATTCATGACGAGATTTCGAGTACCCCTCAGGGCAGGCAGATAGATGGACTAGACACTAGGCGGATGTGCTTTAGAGGCCAAAATTGACTGTTCTTTAAGATTTGTTGTATTGCCAAATAATTTAAACTTTNACTTTTATGCCGGCATTCGAATACTTGAGAATTCATGACGAGATTTCGAGTATCCCTCAGGGCAGGCAGATAGATGGACTAGACACTAGGCGGATGTGCTTTAGAGGCCAAAATTGACTGTTCTTTAAGATTTGTTGTATTGCCAAATAATTTAAACTTTTTACTTATTTATTTATTACTTTTTTTAAAATAATATCCCAAACTAATCATTTGCAGCCAGGCTTCATTTTAAAAATAAGAATTCAATAATTATAAAATAACTAAGAACATTAATATTTAATAACGGAAAATGCTGCGTGAAACAAACCACATCTGTCGTTCGTTGCGAGGTTTACTTTAATTACTAACTGCTAAGCTACCATCGATGCGAGTACGAATAAAAATATCCCAATGATGCATTAGAATCCACACCGTGTCGCCGACATACACCGATTCTGCATTGCCGCTGTTCTCGAGTCCTGTTCTCGGATACTCATTCGGTCTCGGTCCGGTACTCGGTTCTCGGTTCTCGGATAATCATTCGATTCTTAAAAGTATTCGAGTACCGAGTTCTCGATTCTTATAAATACTCGATTCTGCCCGTCACTAGTTATGACGGTCTCAAAAACATATCTTTTGGACCGTGGTTGTGACCAAGAATCGTATATAAGAGGATAGCTTATTGCCATAAGAACAACGTTGGCCGATCGGGCCTATTAGCGGACGGAATACTGAACGGTTGTGACGTATCCATCAGTGCAGAATTGCTATCATCGCACAAATGTCTGTGTTTTTACGTTTTGGTTTTTTGTTTTCTTGTGAGTGTTTTGTGGCAATTTGCTTATTTTTTAACGTTGTACAATGATAATAGACTTTTAAGAACATTATATACATTCAAGATTTGTGTCATAAACTTTAATTTCTTTTTTTCGGTCTTCAAACGATCGATTTGTGTTTGGACATTTTTGTATCTTTATAATTTTTTTTTTCGGGCGTACAGTATTTAACAGTTTGGTAAATTTCCTTAATAAACAGAGATAAAACGAATTTTTAAACTTTATTGAGCAAATAACCTATGCTCATCCACAATCAGAAAGGAATGGATAAATCGTTGTAAAAGAGCGGATAAATTCAACCAAAATACTTCTACAATATGCTGTCTACATTTTACTCCCAACGATTATGAGAGATCTACAAAATGAATTTAATTAGGTAATAAGTATACCTTCTTCTATAGAAAAAATGTTTTGTAAATAATATGTTATGTTATATTATTACCTTTGCGCCGAACAGACAACCTCCACAGAAGCAAAATTCGCAAATTAAAAAAAAATCATTAAAATTAATATCTTGGTTTATTAAGATTTTTTAGTGATATATTTTCTTTCTCTCTTTCTCGACCTACATTTAACCCCTGTTTTAACTTTTTTTTGTACTTGTATATTATTATTTTAGTTGTGGAAAAAAATAAATTTATTTAAAATTGTAACAATTTATTCCTCCTGCACATACAAACCCAGTTCCTATTTTCTTAACATTAATCATCATAGTTGTATAAAAATATATATTTAGTAATTTTTATAAATTTCATTTAATACATATTCATTCAAGGCATTCATTCAATAAACAGATTAAAAACATTAAAATTGTATTGATTTATTGGGTATTTTTATTATTGCATATACGTATTTAATTATTCTTAGTTAAATGCTCACTTAAAAAACAAAAAATACTTTTTGATTAGCTACTACAAAAACCACTAAAGCAGCTTAATTTTAAAAAGACGATGTATCACCGTACATTTTAAATGTGATGCATCTGAAAGTGTACTGATGGTGACTTCACGGCTTGCGATCGCCGGCTAAGAAATCATGCGAAATAAGCTATCCTCTTATATACAATTCTTGGGTTGTGACAACCTTGGTAATTTCATTTCGTTATGTTGGTTATGCTAAAATCACTAGGAAGTAGAATAGAAAGACAAGCTGTCGTTTTATTCTCTCGCTTCTCGTTTGTAGTACGCTGTACACGAAGGCACCATTTTATATTGTGTGTTGATTAATACTTGTTAATGTTTTAAAAAATGAGTGATTATTCCGCGGTAGCTCCGCCACCACAACAAAACTTTAATCAATCTTCAGCATTTGCTGCTGCCTTACAACGCGCCAAACAGGTAGGATAAGCATAAAAATGCTACATTCCAATAGGCGGTAAACAACATGCTGGGCTTCGGTTCTTTTGTGATGTAGTTTTGATTTTTCTGACAAAGATCTATAAGTATATGCTTACATTTTTAATATTTTTCAGATTGCTGCAAAAATTAATCCAGGGGCAACGAATTCAGGAGAGAGTAGACCTAAGAGACCTCTAGAAGACGGTTCAGGTTTGTATATGTATAAAGGAGCAAGTTTTGTATATTACTCTTATATTTAGAATTTGATTCAGAACCGGATGCGAAAAAAGGACCTGGTTCACTTGGACCTCCACCTTCACAAGGGCCTCCACCACTTGGAAGGCCTCCACAAAATCAGGGTGGAATGGGTGGCCCTGTTATGGGAAGTGGGCCACAAATTAACGAGGATATCAAAGTACCTGACAAAATGGTTGGATTAAGTAAGTATTTGTTATTCTAATTTCCTATCCAAAGTTAGTTGCAAAATTTTTATAAGTTATAAGTATTCTAGTTGATATTTAAATATATTTACTCATATATATAATTTGTCAGGTACGAGAAAGTGTCATTAGTTTTTCTTGATCTCTAGTAGTTTCTGAAATACCCTGAATTAGAAAATAGGGCAGTCTGTACATGGCAGTTTTCACTTGTGTAGAAGTTATTTATATAATTAAATTTAATCGGCTCTATGAACAATGTCGCCAGGTTAGTTTAAGAAGCTTTTGCAAATGTGTATAATTTCTGTAACGAAATCATCAAAGTTCTCATCACCTTCAACATTGCTTATCAGTCTACATTGATTTGTAGGAGAAATAATGAATCGCGAAGAAACTCCTAAATTTACATTATTTGACAAAGAATCTGAAAATCTGTATGCCGAAAATGATCAATGCCTGAAAAATTATATGCAGTGTTATTTTTGAAACAGATGACTATACATGTTTAAACCTAAATTATAGGTATATGTGCATAATTTCCTTGTTTAAACAAACTATCTCCATTCATGAGCTTATTTATTTGGCTTCAAGCTAATGAGGGTAAAGTTTTATGGATGTTTCCGCATTGAAAAGGTTAATCAGTGGTTGCTACTTTTCTTCAAAGATGTTTGAGTGTCATCCCTATAACTCGTTTTGCATTAGTATTATGTACTGACATATTTGGAATAAAATGGACAAATGGGCTAATTTCATAAGCAAACCATTTTTCTACATTTGTTTACTGACTATAATTTGCAATTTAAATTGGATGGCTTATATTGTTTTAAACTGTTTCTGTTTAAAATAACGTTTTAAACACCTCTATGTTGGTTGAATAAAATTTATTTCAAATTGTAAATTTTTATTTTTTAGTAAACATTTTGTTTTTATAAAGTTTTTGCTTGATTAGTAAAAAACATGTAATTTAGTTAATTTACCATCTTTATGCTAGAAAAGAAATTAAAAAAAATAGTAATCATTTGTGAAGTCAGGTGCACACTATTGATGCACTTTAAAACTGTTTATGCAAATTTGGGAATTATTTTGACTGATGTAAACTCTTCAAGCACTACTTGAATGTCAACCAGTTAGTCAATAGTATTGCTTTGCTACCTGTGCAGGGCTTAGCATCTAACCTATAACTTAGGCCATTGTGGTCTAATATAATTTTTTTTTGGAATTAATTTTTTGGAAAATTACAATTTCTTTTATTAAAAATGTAACCTTAACCATCATTACTTAAATCTCTAGTAGGTAAATTTTTGTGAATTGAAATTAATATTTATACAAGGTTAAGGCCTGATTGGCAATTCAAAAATTATTTTAGCCTGATTATTTCTGCGAGAAGATGAACCAAGTTTAACATTTTAGCTTCTATTATTGTCAATCTCTTTTCAACGTGTTTATGCCTTTGTTCATTCAAATGTCAAAATTAAACTGTCTTGTGTCATGTCATTGTTACAACCTACAATGAAGTACAAAATACAAATAATGCTACAGTTTAGATATAGGTAGTGTTTGGCTCTGTTGTAAAACATAAGATTTTGAATTTTTATCTAACTTAAGTTACAAAATTAACAGTATTATAAATATTATTTGTAGTTATAGTAGGACGGAGAACTATCTACTTTGTGTTTTACTGCTGCACGTGTACAGTGCCGGCCCTTTAAAAATGGACGACTTATAAACAAATTGTCTATAATTGGCCTTTGTGAAGCTGACTTGAAAATAGGGTTGGCGAAGGTATTATACCAAATGGTATAATTAGTTTTATACTTTGTATTATACTTTGTATTTACCTTACCTAGTATTGTACCAAATTGTATTAAACTGTTAAATACCAAAAAGTTTTATATCACCTAAGTACAAAGTTTTATACCAGCTAAACGAGTCGGGACAGGAACAGCATATGCATTATAAATAAAATAGTCAGTCGTAAGAGATTCATCTGTAGGGTAGGACCTGTAGGCGATCTGCGGATTGAAAGGACAGAGCGGTGATATTCTGAGCTCCTGGTGGTGTCTCGTGTCGACAGAAAATATTTAACTTGTCTCTCTCTTTTCTCTAAGTACACTACTATGTACCTACTCAGTTTACTTATGTTTATGTTTTGGGTTTGTTTTCTCGAATAAACTTTGAGTTTTGTTTTTACAAATTTAAGATTTTTTAAGAATCATCATACCAAATTTTGCCAACCCTACTTGAAAATGTGAGGTTCAAATCGACTGTCATATCAAATTTAATGTGTATCTATCATACTAGTTCTAGTGAGCATTCCACTTTTCTTTGAGTTTAAATATGCTGTTCTTGTATACATGCAGATCATCCGCATTGACCAACCATTCTGAGGTAAAGTTATAGCTCTCACTTTCTCTGGTTCCGTTAAACGCGGCATCTTAAATTACCAATCAAATTACTAATGACAGTGACATATAAAAACTTCATAACGTCATAATATGAAAAGTAGACCACATCACATTAGAAAAATAAATCGTCCACTTTCAAAGGGCCGGCAGTGTACACATTTTTCAATGATTACGATCTTCAAAAAATTTCTTTAGTTGCCTTTAAGTTGCTACTTTCTAGACTCTTTAAATGAGTATAAAAATAATGAAATCTGTATTTTGACAAAATTAAGTTTTAATTAAACCTACATAGGTGTATATAAAATTTAATTTTTTTTACCAAAATATAATGTCCTATTTAAATAGTGATTAGTTCTGCTTAGATCGTGATAGAAAAATGATTTGCTTATGAAATTAATCCATTTATTATCTGTTGTATTTGTCACATAATATAGTGTTGCTAACATTAATTTAAAACCAGCTGTTGGAGATATCTAAATTGACTATCTTCCAGTATAAATCTTTTTAAAAGGAAATTTAAGTGGACAGTGCAAAAAATAATTATGTGAGCATATCCAGTTAAGAAAGAAAGATAAGGAAGTGTTTCATACAATAACTTTCATAACACAAGTAGATGATGAGTCCACTATTTCTAGTGTGAGACAGCGTGAGACAGTAAGATTCATGCGGAGATTAAAATACTAGGAGATCGAAGGAAAAGTTTTCTCTTAGATTATTTCGATATCTGCTAATGTTATAAAAGTGGAAGCACTTATAATAAAAACTTTTTTCGAGTACCACCATGTTATGTTTTGGATAGGATTGTGTTTATGCTTAGTTTGTTATCCATGATCCTGAACATTGCTCAAAATTTTGATCTTAATATAAAGAGCTGCAGCTGTCACCAAATGTAACTTTTAAAAATGTCTGACATGATTCCTGAATTCGATTAAACTTTCCAACAATTTTTAAATTTACTAGATATTGAATATTTACACCTCAATTTACACCATTAATTTTTATTTATTTTATATATCCACTTGTTTCTTTTATGTTTAAATATAATTCACCCTGTTTTGTCATTATTTAATACAAAAGAATTTTGTGATGAAGCTATCATTTATGCATTTATATGTCATTGATATTGAAAAATTAATAGGACCGACTTACTCCCTATACGTAATAAAACTTTTCTGCTGTCTGAATAGTAGGACTTTTGTCCATTTGTTTCAGCACCTGCTAATTTAAATTTGAAAAATAAAGCACTATTGAAAAAATAATTAAACAATCTTTAAAATATATTTGTTTAGTATATAGTACAAAAAATCCAAATAGTACAAGTGAAGTTTATTATGACAAAAATAGTACATATAGGCCTTGTATAAACAAGATGTCTTGTCTCCTTCACAACTAAAATTGACTTGTTTTGATGTTTCTGTGACAAGTTAGTAGTGCTCAAAATAATTTAGGTAAAACTTCCTTCTGGTGCTGGCAAAAACTGAAAAAAAGTGAAACCACTAACCGTGTTCTGTAAAAACCAATTTCTGATGAAACCGAATAGAATAACCCAATAACCGGTTACTCGAATGATGACCAAAACTGGAATCAGGGTTTTGAAAAACTGACAGGATATATGATGTTATTCAAATGTTCACATATTTTTAATTTTAGAGTTCAATCTAATGTTAAAACAGTTACACTTAATAAACTGTGGTTCTTCAATTATTATTTATATTAATGGGCTTGGTCGTTTGGTGTTTGGTGTATGTGGGTGTGGATGATTGTTTTTTTTATCAGTGTCAGTGTTTTTATAAAATATAAAAATAAATTGTATTTCCCTTAATAGTTCCACCTAATTTTTGTAGTAGGTATCTATTATGTATGTACAGTTGACATCACTCAAATGTGAACGCATTTTGGTTGTTATGGAAATTTCATCTGGATTTTATCGTAGTAAATCAGACTTTTTTTAGTGGCGTAACACAGAGAGGGTATTCTTATGGATAAATTCGACCAAGGCATTGTCTTCCGCGTCACTGGGAAACTTCCCGACATCTTGCCTGATAGATCTTTGAAATTATTGTTCTCGCCAGCGTTGTTTAATATAAAATATACAACTCTTACTGACATTCAAATCAGCAGCCACTTCACTCAAAGACCAATTATCTTCTAATTTAGCTATAAGCCCTTGCTCTATGCGCTTCAGTTAAATGGTCCAGCATATTTCACGTTACTTGTTTACATTTAATTACGTTTGCTCTAAGTGACATATATGTATATTTGACAACTATTGAATTTTACGACTATGATTTGTAGTTTAAATTACGCGGTACAATATTGCCGTTCACATTTGGGTGGCGTCGACTGTACTATGTGGCCAATGTCAATAACTACATAACACTAAGACTATGTGTTATGTAGTTATTGGCTATAAAGAAATAATCTGATTATTCGGATGTTTGAATGAACAGAATATCGAATAATCGGTTATTTGAATAATTGGTTATTTGAATAATCAGATATTTGAATATTCGAATAACCGGTTTTCGGGTTTTGTAAAAATCTGAATTATCCGGAACCAGTTAACCGACTATCCAAAAAACCGATTTCAGTTGCCAG